TCAGGGATGCTCAGTGCTGGGCTTTAGACCCTGAATTCTCTGTGTGTCAGGGATTCTCATTGCTGGGCTTTAGGTTCTGACCCCTTGGTGTGTCAGGAACTCTCAGTGCTGGGGTTCAGGCCCTGACCTCTCTGTGTGTTGATGTTGACGTGTGTTGCTGTCATCAGCAGACCCATCAGGATGACAAATTAACTGCAGATCCTCCCGTGTCCTCTGGCCAGCCCAGCAGCCAAGGCCTGCACATGCTCCCACTTCAGTGGAGGCTGATGGATAACACGCAGGATCTGAGCATCCCTGAGCACCCTCCACACCCTTTGCTGGCACAGAGAGCCCCTCTAACTCATTTCTGMTTCATTTTCCTTTCCTTTCATGGGAAAATCGTATTCCTTTGTTGTCCCACAGCAGGTGAGTCCATCAAGGAAAGACAAAGATACCAGTCTGTGTATCATTGCTGCCCTTTGCTCATACAGACTCTCCAGACCCTTTATCATTGCCTCTCTTCCTTTCTCCTTGACTTTCTAATACAGAAGATGATTCAGGCTCAGTTTCTTGGCTGAGGGGTCGATACAGAAGGAACAAACTCCAGGGCTGTGCCAGGGTACAATGGGAATGGGTCTTGACACCATAAATTCTCCACACCTTGTTATTTCCTTTGGATGTTAGGGGTCATTTTTGCTCAGCTAAACTGCAGACTGGGAATCTTTGGTCAGGAAGGAACAGGGATCATGATGTGGAGCATGATGAGGATCTCCTATACCTTTGTCTCTTTTAGGGAAAGGTGCTGTGGTGTTTGTGTTGCTGCAGGATAAAACATTTGCRGAAAATTAAATGCAACACATGGAAAAGAGAGCAAAGGAGATAAGAAATGTGGAGTTTGCTGCTCTACAGAGCCTCTCAAGATCCAGAAGTACTCCTGAGAATGATTTRTTCTGACTCGTTCTGTAATTAAAAAGGATTGCAAACCTTCTCCATCTGCTTTTGAGCCCCAAACTCTATAAATTGTTTTCAGGCAGGTGAAGATAAGTTTGTTGTTTTGTGTATTTCCTTCTGTATCGCTGGATCGCCGTCAGGGGCAGACCGGGACTGTGCGTCTGGCTCCTGCTCATAATCCCAGTTATTGATGTCCCTAAGTGACACCCTGTTATGAAATGTGTCTGGAATCATAAGGTGCCACATTGGTGCAGGGCTGATTTCAATACCTGATATATGCAATCAGCAAGAGAAATAGTCTGTGTTGCTCTGAGCACTCCGCAATAACAAATTGCCCCGTGGAACATTAGCAATAAGAGCAATAATATTATCTGAGTAACGTTCCAGTGAGTCAGTCCTGCAGGCT